TAACCATAATTTTAAATATGTTCCCGTCTCCACCAAAATAGATCTTTAAACCCTACCTAGATAGAGAAAATCATGTTAACACTCTCAGGACTGGCATCTGTAGGCTGTTTTGTTTTGTGTTAGTTTTAAAATTGTTGAAGATGAGGGGTGCCTGGCTGGCTCAGTTGGTAGAGCATGCAGCTGTTGATCTTGGGGTTGTGAGTTCAAGCCCCACATTGGGTGTAGAGATTATTTAAAAATAAAATATTTTAGGGGCTCTGGGTGGCTCAGTTGGTTAAGCGTCCAACTCTTGATTTCAACTCAGGTCATGATCTCAGGGTTGTGAGAACAAGACCCCATCAGGATCCAAACTGGGTTTGGAGCCTACTTAAGATTCTCTCTCCCTCTCCCCTTCCCCCTCCCAAAAATCTTTTAAATGAATAAAATTGTTGAAGGTGCAAAAATTAAATTCTTGAAGGTGCTTACACTTCTTTGCCTACATAAATTTGATGTGAAATCATTTTCAAATGGAAAATTAGCCCTTCATGATAGTAAGATTAACTTCTCCTGGAGATGGCTTTGGAGTAGGTTATTCTAGCAAACTTGGGCTTTAGCCATTTGGCCCCCTGCTGATTCCTCTTTCTGTCAGCCATCAACAATATTTATATACATGTATTACTCTAGGGCAATAAAGTCACTGGTGTAAGAACACTATGCAGAATGTGGACATTAGCCTTACTTACACTATGCCAAGTCTTTGAAGACTAAACATGATATTTAAATTGAACCATGTGAATTTGCTGATATTCAGCCATTTTTTGAACTATAAAAATGGCAGTTCATAGGGGTGCCTGGGTGGCTCAGTTGTTAATGCCTTCGGCTCAGGTCATGATCTCAGGGTCCTGGGATTGACCGCATCGGGCTCCTTTCTCAGCGGGGAGCCTGCTTCTCCCTCTCCCACTCCCCCTGCTTCTGTTCCCTCTCTCGCTGTGTCTCTCTCTGTCAAATAAATAAATAAAATCTTAAAAAAAAAATGGCAGTTCATATAGTTCAGCCTACTAGCAGCTTAGTTGTTCTTAAACATTTCCACTAAACTAGTATTCGTACCAGCAGAGGGGAGTGAATTTTGGTGGGGCGGTGGGGGGTTGGGGGGGTGATTTTATTAAAAGATGTCTAGAAAGGCTTGTCATGCTTAGAATTTCTCTGAAGGCTCATGTTTTATCTTGAAACACTTTATTATTTTTGCCTTCTAGTGCATATTAAATGTATATTTATTTTAATATACTGTTTTAAGTTAATATCAGAGGGGAAATGGTTAAGTAAAATTTGATCCCCCAGTATGTGTATTCTGTTGACACACTGCTGGGGATATCCCACTTTGAGAGTCATAGTAGTAGGACAGTACCTTAGAACCTTAGGTCTAATACACAGTGCCTATTTTTCTCAATATAGAAGACTTCAGGGATGAAAATTATGACTGAGTCACTAGGGGTATTTATCATACACAAAATACAAACAGTTATTACAAAGTGCCTCAGAGAAATGTATGGTCTAAAAAGCATTGAAGGGTATTTGTAAGCTTAGTTCAACTAATGGCTTTATGTTAGCGTATATGATATTTGATTGTAAAGTAATGTTCTTTTTTTTTTTTTAAAGATTTTAATTTATTTATTTGTCTGAGAGAGAGAGCAGCAGGCAGAGGGAGAAGCAGGCTCCCTGCTGAGCAAGGAAGGAGCCCAGTGCGGGACTGGATCCCAGGACCCTGGGATCATGACCTTAGCTGAAGGCAGACACATAACTGACTGAGCGACCCAGGTGTCCCTGTAAAGTAATATTCTTGTGTACCTTTTTAAAATATAGGACAAGTGTCCATAACAGGTACACGTTAATTTCTCCATGGGACAGCTTACTTAGGTCGGGAAATTAGTATTGTGCCGTGTTTTGATTAATACTTCAGATTACATTGCATTCATGGAGATTCATAGTACACTATGAATACCCTGAGAAATCTTTTGGATAACTTAGTTTTATAACTAGATTCTCATACTTATTAAAATAAGGAATCTGGGGGCACCTGGGTGGCTCAGATGGTTAAGCATCTGCCTTCAGCTCAGGTCATGATCCTAGAGTCTTGGGATTGTGCCCCACGTCGGGCTCCCTGCTGAGCGGGGAGCCTGCTTCTCCCTCTCCTCCTGCTCCCCCTGTTTGTGCTCACTTGCTCTATCAAATAAATAAATAAAATCCATAAAAATAAAAAATAAAAATAAAATAAAGAACCTGGTGTTCAGTTTTTAGGAAATAGTACAGTGATCTGTCCATATTATCCACAAATTCTCTACACATTCTAAGCTTTTTAAAAGTGGCTGATTTTGAGGTGTTTGAGGGGCTTGATTGGATAAAAGAGTGGCAGTATCTGGTGGTTAAAGCACATATATCTAGAGTCAGATTGCTTATGTATACATCCAAGTTCATTGTGACCTTAGGACTGCTACTTAGTTTCTCTGTGCCTCAGTTTCCTCATCTAAAAATAGCTGGCTGTGGGATGCCTGGGTGGCTCAGTCGGTTAAGCATCTGCTTTCGGCTCAGGTCATGATCTCAGGGTCCTTGGAGCGAGTCTTGCGTCGGGCTCCCTGCTCAGCGAGAGCCTGCTTCTCCCTCTCCTCCCCGCTTGTGCTCTCTCTCACTATCTCTGTCACTATCTGTCTCTCTCAAATAAATAAATAAAATCTTAAAAAAAAAAAAAAAAGCTGGCTATTTCTTGAACAATTTTGTGAATTATTTGAGAAAATATAAAGCACTTATAGTAAGTGGCCAATACGTGTTAGCTTTGTCAAAAATAATGGCTGGCATTAAGTGGGAGCAGTAGTTTTACAAATATGTTTTTCAAGTAGCATAATTGTAGTTTGAAAGATATATTGTAATGTATGTTCACTTTTAATAAACTAATCACTTTGTGATCTCAACAGAAACATAAGAATAGAAAATAAGAGAAAATTAGAAAAATAAGCAGTCTCCAGATACATAATAGTTGTAGGGTGTGGTTATATTAAAACATACAGTATATTGATTGCATTTGTATTCATCTTCCTAAAGTGAAACCTGAGGTAAGAGCAGGAACATCTGTTACTTGCAAAAAGCATTTGCTGATCCCATTGATAGTGCATACATGGAGATCACAGGTACATTTTAGAGTTGGGTGGTTAGATGTGGGATTACTAATATGAATTGTTTACTTTTAGTAGCAATTTATATGAGGAATGTATTGAAGACATTAGAGATAACTCTGCCCTGCTATGATCTCAAGCTTTTTACTGAATTATTTATTATTGCATTGTGTTAGCTGTTTTGCTTCTTGATAGATCATTTTACACCACAATATTGCTGCTGCCTAAGGGAAAAAAAAGTCTCTTCAGCAGTCCTAATGACCTCTAAAAAGGGTAATTTGATTCTTAAGATAGGATTTTGATTTGCCGTGGTGGTTATAAGAAATTTTCTCTATGATACTGAGGTAATTTTTTTCCCTCAGACAATCATAGATATTGAGTGCACACTTGCTTTTCACCTTCTGTATAGCTAGAAGGTTTCTTCCAGAAACTGTTTCTCTAGCATTTATTAACTTTGTCCTTAATTGTGTATATTTTGGTCGGTTGGCTTCAGTAATTTAAGAAAGGAAGATTTATTTAAACAAGAACCTAAAAATTCACTTGCTCTGTAAATGGGAATTTGTTAGCACCATTGTTTATATTCTCGTTCCTTAAAATTGACATTTCTGAAAATCCTGGTGTGTCTTTTTTTTTTTTTAGGACTGTCAGTACCAGGTTATAGGTGGTATTGGGCAGGTAGGCAAGACTCACTGGAAGGGAACAACCCAGATGGCTAAAGCAGCATGCAGACTTGGTGGGTGTGGATTGGTAAAAGCTGCCTTTTGGCCTCTGGGGCAGCAGCATGGTCAGAATCCAGAATATTGGCCAAGCCAGAAGGACGCAAGTAAGATAAAGAGTAGGAGTTGAAAACTTAAATACGTGAAGAAGTTGGCAAATACTGTAAATGAATGAGGCAGGCCAGGTGGCAGTTATGGCCTGCTGGAAGGTCCCTCTCTTAGATTCAGCCATTTGTTGCTATATGGGGATATGGACACAGGTTTTCATGTAAAATCTTATGCTTAAATATTAGTAAGTCCTTTCTCCCCCAATATGTTGCAGGCTAAATTTGGCCACCAGGGTACCAGTTTGTGACTACTATCTTATAAGGAGACTCTTCTCACATTTATATTAATTATGATGATCTGATACTATAAGTAATTTTATACTAATAAACTCTCTAGGAGAAAAAAATGAATGAAAAGAAAGAAAAGCCCTCCCCTAGGTCTCCCATCTGATTTTCTTTCTTTTGTCTTTCTTTTTTTTTTTTTCTTTTTCTACATCTTTATTTATTTACTTACTTTTCATTAAGTTTAAATCCTTGATGGGTACAATATCACATGGATTCTGTGGCCAATGGCTTTAGCAGGAAGGTTGCTTTGGAATTTGGCATGAACCATGCCACTGTTACCATGAGCACGAGTTACTTTTCCTCAGATTACTCTGGTTTTGTTTGGTTTGCCACCAGGAGTCACTGTGTTGTTCTTTGCTTTGTACACATAAGCACATCTCTTGCCTAGATAGAATTCAGTTTCATCTCAAGCATAAACACCTTCAGTTTTAAGAAGAGCTGTGTGCTCCCTCTGGTTCTGAAGACCCCGCTTATAGCCAGCAAAAATGGCCGTGGACCACAACCTTCCAGATATATTTTAGGAGCAGATTCCCAGCAGGCCTCCATAGGCTCCAAGATGGCGGAAAGAGTCCCATCTGGTTTTCTAACACATCTTTACTTACTGGCTTCTCTATAAAAGACAGATTTGTTTAGGGGAATATGAGCTATGTATATAAATGTTTTTAGTTTAATTACCTGTAGCATTCTATCTGTATTTCCAGTATTACAGTTGCCTTCCTTTTTAAATATGTTCTTTTCCTCTATTACAGATTTTTTTCTAGGTGTATGATTGAAGTTTAATGAGAAGAATCGTGACCAGCTAGGAGAATTTTTTGCAAGGAATGGAATTAGCTCATAGCTTATTGCTGAATGAAGAAGCATACAATCAGCTAGGTGAAGTTCAGAAGGCAGAGTTTATTTTCGATTGGTTGAGATATTTGGAGAAGCTCTTGCTGGCGACCAGCAGGGTGGGTAAAATTGCAAACTTTTTTGTGCTTTTTTAAGTACCAGATAATGTTTAGGTCCTTTGGTTTGCTTTTCTAGTTCCGTCCAGAATAACGTAAGTTAGCTTTCAAATGCTAGACCTTATTAAGAGTTTATAATGAAATACTACAAGAAGTTTATTCTTTCAAAAAGCAGGAAGAAATCAGCCAGTGTTTTTTATATTACTTAAAAAATATATGAAAATATAAAAAACTAGCTCTAAACTACATTCTGTTAGATTTCATTTTCATTATCTTCTTCACCTTCATATGCATGAAGCCCTTGTGTAATATACTGCTGAATATTGTAATGGGAGTTTCACTTTAAAAAAGTTGTGAGCTCTTTAAGGAGAATTTTAATTTAAAAGTCTTTTAGTAAACATATTCATTCTTAAGCTTATGAAATAGTTTCCAAAAAAGAAAACAAATCACTCATACTTTTCACCTACATTCAGCAGTTAACATTTTACCATATTTGATTGATTTACTGAGCCGTATGAGGTGGTACTGCACCTTAAATACTTCTGCGTACATCTCCTACTAAAAATGAGGATATTCTTCTACATAATAACAATACTATATGTAGTGCAAAAGTGATGCAGAGACAGTACTCATGGAGACATTTGGAATTTAACAAGACAAAAATCCATACTAACAAATACTTCATTGTGGAAGCTTATGCCTTAGTGAGCACCTAAATACCGTTATTATTATAATGGTATTCTGTACTCCTTTTTCAGAAAGCAGACAAGTAAAATGGAGTAACATTACTGGCATTTAGATGCATAAGCTTGCAGAAAGAAAATTGCACTAAACTTAGAAAAAGATCTGAGTAACACAATCATTCATTACAAGGTCAACTCATGATAGATTATAGGTTCCTGCTTATTTATACAGATATATATGGGTCAGAGACTTAATAACAGAGAACCTCTGGTTAAAATACAAGTACAACAGAAGAAGAAAGGTATAGAAGAAATAGAACCCTTACCTTTCTTCACAGAGACTCCAGTATATTGTGGCCCCGAAATTATTTTTTGGAGATACCTGCAGGGTAGCAAACTACCTTGTGTGGTATGATGACTACACCACCCACTTATTTGTAATTTTTAGTCAAAATAATTTTGTATTTTTCTAGAGTTTTTAATTCTTAAATATATGAAAGAAGAATTGTATTAGAAGATTATATGTAATTATGTTGACTATGAATTGTCTTTTTTGTTACCTTCCTTTCTAGAATGATGTAAAGGAGAAACAGAAGACTCTTGTTGAACAGCTCCTATCTTTGTTGAACAGCTCCCCAGGCCCTCCTACCCGCAAACTCCTTGCTAAAAATCTAGGCGTTCTTTATAGTATTGGTGACACATTCTCTGTTTATGAGACAATCGATAAATGTAATGATCTTATTCGTAGCAAAGATGATTCTCCAAGTTATCTTCCCACAAAGCTGTAAGTTAAATATTAAAACTGAACATAAAACAAAATAGTGCTTCCTTGTTGAATCATTTTTCTAAAGAACCCAAACTCCTTGATAATTATTTTGAAACTGAATACAAGTTGTTTCACTCATTTTTTAAATCTAACTTTTAAAAAACATCTAACGTTTTCCCATTGAGAGACTGTTCTTCTAAAAAATATTTTAGATGTATTTGAAGTCTTGATTTGGGAATCAGAACTGTCTCACTAAAAATGTAGCAGTTGAAGACTCATAGATATAGAACACAAACTGGTGGTTGCCAGAGTGGGGAATAGGTTAGGGAGACAAGTGAAATAGGTAAGGGGGATCAAGAGGTACAAACTTCTAGTTATAAAAACAAGTCCTAGGGATGAAAAGTACAGCATAGGGAATATCATCAATAATATTGTAATAACATTGTATGATGACAGATGATAACTACACTTACTGTAGTGAGCATTTTGTAATGTTTATAATTGTCGAATCACTATTGTACACCTGAAACTAATATATGTCAGCTATTAAAAAAAGTGATTTTTTTGTGGGTGTTTTTTTTTTTAAGATTTTATTTATTTATTTGACAGAGAGAGAGAGAGACAGCGAGAGAGGGAACACAAGCAGGGGGAGTGGGAGAGGGAGAAGCAGGCTTCCTGCTGAGCAGGGAACCCGATATGGGGCTCGATCCCAGGACCTGGGATCATGACCTGAGCCAAAGGCAGACGCTTAATGACTGCGCCACCCAGGCGCCCCTAAAAAAAAGTGTTTTAAAGATAAATACAAAAAATCTTAGCAGTTGAGTGAGTGTTTAAGAAAAAGTATTTTGAGTTCTTCAAATCTTTGGTGTTCTTTAATTTATTAGCTCTTCGTAGTAAAAGTTAATAGTAAATACCACATAGAAAAATACTCTTCTGAGCTCCTAAAAAGAACAGCTTAGTTTCTTTCTCCATAGGATTCAATTCATTTTTTCATCTGTTATTTTAGAGAAAGTAGTTTGCCATGTATGGTTCCACAATAGTAATTTTACAGAAATTTTTGTTGATCTAATTTTTAGCTTAGAACAGAATGTATTTTCCCATGGAGTTTTCAGATTTCAGACTTGATAAAAACATTATTTCCTGTTTTTCTTATCTTGTATCTTTAAGATTATCTTTGATTATCTAATATATGAAGGTCAGTTTCATGAAAAATTATTTTATAAAAAAATTTGAGGGAATGGAATATTTGGGCTGAGGTTTCAATTATTTGAAGATACCTTTTTTTTTAAATTACTGTTATTGAAAGTGTAATTATTTGGTATTCATGCAAGCATCATACCTTAGGATTTTTTTTTTTTTTAAAGATTTTATTTATTTATTCATGAGAGATAGAGAGAGAGGCAGAGGCAGAGGGAGAAGCAGGCTCCCCTCGGAGCAGGGAGCCCGATGCGGGACTCGATCCCAGGACCCTGGAATCATGACCTGAGCTGAAGGCAGGCGCTTAACCGACTGAGCCACCCAGGCGTCCCTTTACCTTAGGATTTAATAGTGGAATAGATTCTGGCAATTTTATCCTTTAAAAGTAAAATTAAATAGTCACTTTTACATAGTCTAAGATTTTTTTTATTCCTGTTTTTTCATTCATGACTAATTTCTAATCTAAATGTTGTTTCAGTGCTGCAGTGGTATGTTTGGGTTCCTTGTACAAGAAGTTGGGTAGAATGCTGGTTAACACCTTTACCGACACAGTGGGGAATATTCTTAAAGCTATGAAGAGTGCAGAGGTGAGTAACCACAAGTTCAACCAAAGAATAAAAAGATAAACTATAATTTTTATTACATCAAAAGAAAAAGAATAAAAAGTATTTTATGGTTTTGTGTTTTATGGTTTCTTGAGCCAGTAAAAATGCTTTACCTATGGTAAGCATACATAGGTATATATATAAATATATCCATAAATGAAATATTTCTAGGAGATGCACATATCTCTTTTGTATATTAAATCTTTATTAGAAAATCAATAATGCAATTTACGATTTTGGATAAATCCGAATCCGCAAAAGCTAAGGTATTTCTCTGGCAGACCCATCCCTGCTTCTTCCCTTCACATCACCTTTTCCCCTAACACTAGTACTACAGCAAGTGTTTGTCAACAAGGATCCAGATACGTAGTTGGTAACTACTGGATACCTGATGGATGGATTAGTATTCTACCAGCATCAGAAAGGAGTAAGGAATATAATCAGGTTGGGAAAGAGCTTGAAGGATATAAGTATGACCAGGATCTGGTTAACCTTTTAGTTGCCAGGGGAATATATTCTCAGCCTTAGCCTTACTGATTTGTGATCATTTACCACTGTGGAATATCCTTTGTTTTTGTAACTGTCTCTTCATTTGGCTTCCAAGATACTGTAATTTCTTGACAACTATAGTTTCACTAATTTTTTTTTTTAAGATTTTATTTATGAGAGAGAGAGAGAAAAAGAGAGAGCACAAGCAGGGGGAGGGGCAGAGGCAGAGGGAGAAGCAAGCTCCCTGCTGAGCAGGGAGCCTGATGTGGGGCTGGATCCCAGAACCCTGGGATCATGACCTGAGTTGAAGGTGGATGCTTAACCGACTGAGCCACCCAGGCGCCACTCACCATTTTTTTTTTTTTAAGATTTTTATTTATTTATTTGACAGAGAGTGAGAGAGGGAACACAAGCAGGGGGAGTAGGAGAGGTAGGAGTAGGCTTCCTACTCAGCAGGAAGTCAGATGCTTAATGACTGAGCCACCCAGGTGCCCCTCACCAGTCATTTTTGAAATTAAAGCATTTGTATGTGTGTTTATCAAAAATTTTAAATCTGTGGTCCCTAATATTTAAGGACAAATATTAGCACCTTTAAATATAAAAACAATATACCAGTTCTTGTTCTAACTTTACCTAGAAAAGAAGTCTAGAAAACAGCTCTGAAATAATTTTTAAAAATGCTATCTAGTTGCCCACACATTTTTTTAAAAAAAAAATTTATTTATTTATTTGAGAGAGAGCGCATGTGCAGTGGGGAGGGGGAGAGGGAGAGAGAAACTCCAAGCAGACTTCACACTGAGCAAAGAGCCTGACACAGAGCTCGATCTCAAGACTCTGAGATCATGACCTGAATTTGAAAGTTCACATGTAGGGCGCCTGGGTGGCTCAGTTGGTTAAGCGACTGCCTTCAGCTCAGGTCATGATCCCAAGGTCCTGGGATCAAGTCCCACATCGGGCTCCTGGCTCAGTGGGGAGCCTGCTTTTCCCGCTGACCCTCTCCCCTCTCATGCTGTTTCTCTCCCGCTCACTCTCTAATAAATAAATAAATAAATAAAATCTTTAAAAAAAAAAAAAAGTTCACATGTAAAATATGATAAATTTCCAGAAGAATGTAGCTGATTTGGGGTGCATGGCTGGCTCAGTCAGTAGAGCATGCAACTCTTGGTTGTGAGTTCAAGCCCCATGCTGAGTGTAGAGATTATTTTAAAAAATAAAATTAAAAAAAAAAAAAAAGAACATAGCTTATTCAAGAACTTTAAGAATTGAAGTCCATAACAAAAAACTAGTGATTGAATCTACTCAGGCGATCAGTTCTAAGCAGTGGTTTGCTAAAAGACTGAAGAAAGTGATTCAGCAGAAGAGATTGTTAACATCTGTAAACTGGGTTTTATTTGAAAGGAAATCTTTGTAAGAACTTTTATCTCCTGAGGAACGGCCACTTTAAACTTTCTTTCCACTTAACTCCATTAGTTAAGCTATACTCTTTTTAGGCCCCATGTTTAACAGGATTACTCTGTAAGTCTCAGAAATTTTAAAGTTACTGCTGAAGATTTTATTTCTTGCTGTTTTTTATCTTTATGACTTAGTTGATTAGTACTGCAACATGTTGGAGATATCCAAAGGGTTCCCACCTTTAATTCACACCCTTCAGTAACAGACTACATAAAGTTGGGATAGAAAGAAAGTTCAGAAGCTTCACCTTGGGACCCATTTGGTTATGTCCACCTATTAATTACTCACTGTTGTGCTCCTTTGGACAAAGATAAATTGATAACATTCCTATGAAAATGGTGGTTGATGTTGATCTTTGTCTTCTCCCAACTTTAGTTATTTTGAGTGGCCTTAACTTCCTGGGATATAGAAGTTGTTTGGGGCATTTATTAAAATATCAGTAATATAAACAGCTACTATTTTTTGAGTATTTATTATGTACCAGGCACTGTGGTGAATGTTTTCCCCACAAGGACTTATTTACTTCTCACACTGGCTGTATGGGTTTCATCTTATTCTCATTTTATAGATGGAGAAATAAGCACAACTTAAAGTCACACAAGTGCTAAGGATCAGAGGCAAGATTCAGCCCCAGGTCTTTTTAAGTCTAAAGCCCAGACTTTTGTCCTCTGAGTTCAACTACTCAGCCCAATAAATGATAAAATATTAATGGCTATAAAATCTGTTGAGCATTTACTATATCCCAGGCACTGTTCTCAGCGTTTTGCGTTTTGCGTGTAGTAACTTGTTTGATCTTCACAACAACCTGTGAGGTGGATATGTCCATTTCACAGATAAACTGTTTTGCCCAAGGTCACTTAGCTGCTAGATGGCAGTCCCTGAACTCTTACCATGTTACCTCATTAATAGCAACCATTTATTGAATGCTTAACAACATGCAAGCTTTGTGCTAGGATTTTTCATATAATTTCATTTAATCTTCATATCAACCCTTTGTATTGTGTTGAAATATATACACATAACACTTTTCAAATAGTAAACACTTCATAAAATAACAGCTGTTAATGTCTCTTGATATCAGATGGGTTGGTTAGTGTATACAGATACTGAAGTATTTCACTAGTACATGAGAGAAATTTTGATGCTTAATGCTACTTTTCACAGTGAAATTTTTTTCTTATTTAAATTTTTTCTTTTTGGTAGTCTCAAGGTCGATATGAGATTATGTTGAGTTTGCAGAATATATTGAATGGACTAGGAGCTGCTGCTACACCTTGCCACAGGGATGTTTATAAAGCTGCTAAATCCTGCTTAACAGATAGATCCATGGCTGTTCGTTGTGCTGCTGCAAAGGTAAAATGGTCTAATAAGTAGAATTTCTCAAAATAAATACAAAGAAAATTAAATTAGTATCCCTGTTAACAACTACATGATCTCAGAGCTACAACCTTGGAAATCAGCCCATCTTATTTTAGCATAGGAGGACACTGAGGTCCAGAGAGTTATATGAATTTCCCAGGGTTCTTCAGATAGTTCACAGAATATTGTTGGAGGGTGGGGAATTCAGGTTACCACGACTCTTAAGTATTCCTTTCACTCTACTATGCTTCCTCTCTATAGTTTTATAAACTAAAGTTTACATGTAAAGTTTATGTTATTTGAAAGTGATTTGTTTTTATCATGCCTTCTTTTTTGTTAAGTCTAGGATTTAGATTTTGATATTTTCATTTCTTTTGAATATGTCACTTTCTGCAAGCTAGGAAAGAGAGACAGTTTAGTCCTCTGCAGATCTAGGCCAAGTCTTGTGATCTTCAGCAGAATTATCATGGCTTCTTAATACAGTTGGTCAGATAGGACAGTAAAGTTGTTTATGTTGTAGTTATTCTCACAATTGCTCATAGCCAGCAGATTGGTTCTTCAGACGTTTTTCCTAGCCTACTGAGTTAGAATGGGTTCTCCTCCCATCCTCTGTGGACACATTGTTTTATATAGTATAATTTTTATGACTTTTAGTAAGTATTAATTTGTTGTCTCTGCAATCATTGTTTAGATACTTTGGATGTGTATATAATTTTTTTAGATCTTGATAGTTTCTATAACTTATGTAGATCTGAACCTGACATTTACAGTTTGTTTTTCATTAATGTCTGTTTTTTCAATTAAATAGTGTCTCCTTGAACTTCAGAAAGAGGCCATCTTTATGTGGAGTACAGACCTGGATAGTGTGGCCACACTATGTTTTAAGTCCTTTGAAGGTTCCAATTATGATGTGCGGATTTCAGTTTCAAAGCTACTAGGCACAGTGTTGGCTAAAGCTATAATTTCTAAACATCCAGGAGCAGGTAAATTTATATAATTATTTTCAAAATGTCTATAGTAATTTTTTCCCAGTTGGTTTAAACAAATATAATGTGGTATTACTACTACCCATTATTAATTTTGAAAAGAGGCAGGATATTTTAAAAATCAGTTTTAGTTTGTAAACATTGCTGTAGGTCCCAAAAGTTCATTTTCAAACAATTTAGTAAACATTTGAGGAAAAAAATAAACTCTTGAAGAAATGTACTTTATTCAGTCATCGTCTTTCCTTTATGGCCTTTACTTTTTTTTTTTAAGTAAATTGTTAATTGTTATCCAATAATAGATATGATCTAAATCTTAATTCTTTTTTAAGCAACATGAATTTGATTACCTGTATTCGGCTTGCCATTTTCTAGGTTGGTATAAGGGAGCAATGATGTAAATAATTCCAAACAACAGGTATTTGAAATTCACTGTACTTGGACAATTTGCTTTGTGTTACTTTTTATTTATATGCTTCTAGGCAGTGAGCAGGGATGGGGTATTTTTGAAAACAAAAGAGTTTGCCTGGGTTTAATCAACAGTGTATATAAAACATTGATGAGTAACTGAAAACTTGCTTTATCATTCTTTCTCCAAAGAATAAACAATCACACAAATGCAAATGTGTTTGTTCTATAGAAACTTACTCCTCAAACATCTGCAGATCAGGAGTACTAGCATCACCTGGGAGCTTGTAAGAAATGCAGAAACCCAAGCCAAACACAATTTACTAAATCCAAATTCTCATTTGAACAAGATCTCCAGACAGTTTGTATGCACATTAAAGGTTGAGAAGCATGCTGGAGAAATTGTTTATAGTTATATAAAGGGAAATTTTTTTTTTTTTTTCTAAAGCCAATGTTTTTTAACCAGTGATGGGAAAGGACAGGAAGTACAGCATGTCACAGTCACCTGGGGGACATTATCAAACTTACAGTCCCCTCATTCTCCAGTTGAGATTGTAAATAAAATTTATAATGAAGTTTTATTTTTATTATGGTGTTTCTAATCTTATAATTCAGTAAGGCTGTCTTATTTATTGGGAGGTGAGGGAAAGGTGAATGGGAACAGGAAGAAGTCACCAAAAAAACCCAAACCAGAAAAAAAAGTTGTTCAGGACATTTAGGAGGTTAAATCTTAAGCCACCTAAGAAATTGAAATTGGAAGACATGTTTATTGTTTATTTTTTAAAGATTTTATTTATGTATTTGACAGAGAGAGTGGGAGAGAACACAAGCAGGGGTAGCAGCAGAGGGCAGGGGGAAGCAGGCTGCCTGCTGAGCAGGGAGCCCAATACAGGGCTCCATCCCAGGATCATGACCTGAGCCGAAGGCAGCCGCTTAACTGACTGAACCACCGAGGCACCCCTAATCAAATCCTTTTTAAAATGTGAATTGTTCATTTCTATAAATGTATCACTAGCAGTAGCACATGGTTTCAGTAAAAACAAGCAAAGTGTAGAATTGCATAAGAATTATGAATAAATATTTAAATGTATATGCTTCGATGGTAGCACTAAACTGATACTAGTGTTTTTGTAATCAGACTAAGCAAAGTGAAGAATCAGCTTCACCCACGATAAAAATCCTTGGCCTAATCTTTTGTTAGAAATTCTATCATCTTGCCTCTGTAAATTTTAGCTTACAAATAATTGAGTTATTTTTGTACAACTAAAAAGTGATCTAGATACCATAATAGATTTTTTTAAGGTCAAGGACTAATAGCAACATAGTGCTTAATAATTTAGAAAACAAATGCAGGGCGCTTGGGTGGCTCAGATGGTTAAGCGTCTGCCTTCGGCTCAGGTCATGATCTCAGGGTCCTGGGATCGAGTCCCGCATCGGGTTCCCTGCTCAGTGCAGAGCCTGCTTCTCGCTTTCCCTCTTCCACTCCCTCTGCTTGTGCTCTTCTGTCTATCTCTCTGTCAAATAAATAAATAAAATCTTTAAAAAAAAAAAAAAAAACAAATGCAGTGGAGGTTTGTATACTCAACTACAATATGCAAAGATTATGAAGTACAGAGCTAAAATGATTTTCCTAGTAAAACTAACAGGTTTCAGGCAGGTGGTAGGTTATTCCAAGGCACTTAAAAAGCAGGGATTGAGGGGCACCTGGGTGGCTCAGTCGGTTAAACAGCTGCCTTCAGCTCAGGTCATGATCCCGGGGTCCTGGTCAGTGGGGAGCCTGTTTCTCCCTTCCTACTCCCCCTCCCCCTACTCGTGTGCTCTAAATAAATAAATAAATAAAATTTTTTAAAAAGTAGGGATTGAGTATGACACTTTCTTATCATTGGAACAAGTTGTGGGGAATTTATGTGATCTTTTAATATATATAATTTAATATATATCATTCTCTCACTTGCTCAAGGACATTGCTCTAGGAAGTCTCCCCTCTCCTATACCAGCTTTTCCCTCTCTATTGGATTATTACCTACAAAAACATGCTTTTATTTCTCCCATCTAAAAAATAAAT